TACTTTCTGATCTGTATCTTAGGGTATGTTCATACTGCAGCCTGAAGTGACCCAAATCTGATTTTTTCACCCCTATGCTCCTGTATCTGATCTTTTAATGACAGTCTGAACAACACAGATCCAATTTTTTTCAAATGCAACCCAGGCCACATGGATACGTGCTCCTAAAACCGAGACATATCCGATCTTTTGACATGCGACTTCAGTCTGAACGGCCAAGGCGCATTCATCCCACCTACACGTCACAAATACTCAAACTTAAACTTTCTTCTCGTCATATGGAAATTGTGTATGAACTCCGTGTCAGTGAAGCAGTGAAGCACATCGCAATCCCTCCACTCTTGGCTGCCGCTCTGCATCCACACGGTTCTTTCTACGGACGTTGCTGCCACTGCCCCACAAAACGCCACGGCCAAAAACCTCGTCCTTCTCCTTCTCAATCTCCTCCTTAAGGCAAATAAGTTGTTCATGTTCTGGCTCCGGTACGAGAGGAACTTTAAAATCTCCAGGTGCTCAATGCTCACATTCATGTTTAGGCGACTGCGGGACACTTTTGTGGCATTTAAAGTTCACACTGGAGATCACATACAAGTCGCATTTAATTGGAAATGTGAACAACCTTGCGAAAAAAAATCTGAATTGAGCGTTAAGCCCTGCAGTCTGAATGTAGCCATAATGTTGTTTTCTCATTACAAAACAGACCTGGAGTTGTGTTTTGTTTCATTCACATGTTAACACGCAAACGCTGCATATTTAAGCTGAGAAAACACTCTGTTCCACCTTATGATGTCATGTGGTAATATAAGAAGTGCTCCACTGTGTTTTTAAACTCTAAAATCCTTCACTAGAATCATCTGGAATTTCTTATTTCGATCAAATAAAAGATGCACTGCAAATTTCTCTGATCTGGCCAAGATGTTAAAACTTATATCAGATTATTCATCTTGTTTTCAGATTTATTATCTACTTAATAGTTCTGAAATTGTTTTATTTTAGTGTAGAGGTAGTTTATTTTAAGATAACTTGTCAAGTAAAATGATCTTGCTGCATGGACAGATAATTTTACTACTTTTAAGTCATTTTCTGATAGATTTAAGTGTTTATATCCTAAATTCTGGCTTTAAAAACTGCCACTCACAAAGTGGAACAGAGCATTTTGCATGTAACAATAACCAAAATATTGTGATATTGTATCGCCAAAGTCTCACAATAATATCGAGGACCATCACAATATATCGAAATGACAGGTTTCTTTGCTTAAATTGATAGTTTTGGTTCAACAATAGCTAAAAAACACAGAACTACATAGACCATGATCCTTTGCTCTGTTTCAGTGTAGACTACATGAAGAAATAGCTGTTATTAAGCCCTTTTAAAATTTAGGTCTTTGGATTATGACAGAACTAAAGGCTTGTCAAGTCATTTTAAAAAGAAAAAGTTGCATATTCACCGTTTTGTTAGACTCCACAAACTATTTCAATAAATATCGTACCATCGGATGCGTATCTTGAAAATATCATACCGAGAGATTTGGATATCGTTACATCCCTAATAATGCAGGATTACGCAAACACAGTGTGGCTGAAACAAAACACAACTCCTGTTTTGTTTTTGATGGTAACAACATTATAAAACTTGGTCAGGGAATCAAACCAGGGACCAAAACAGTCACTCCTTTACATGCAGAGAGAAATTCAAATGCACTAAACAACCAAATTCAATTCGTCTTTGACCCAAAACCTCAAAGAATAGTCGTAAACAGGTGGTGACGAGACATTCAAGGATGTCTAGTAATTTTGCCTTGGCACTAAAACTTTGCAGCTGTAATTGTTAATAAAAACTGCTCAACATCTCATTTCATTTACACGGATTATTTAAAAAGATGTTTTGTTAAGAATTGCGTAAGAACTGTGAAAGTGAAACCTAAGATCTTGCAGGTTTCGCTTTCACTTTAAAATAGCGAACCAAAACAATGACGACATGCGCTGGCCAACAAAAGAGGAAATGTATTTTATCACGCTGTTGATCTAAAACCTGACTGTTTCTTACCGTGTGTTTAGTTGAATGCCTCTTCTTATCTGCGGCTAATGTAAATCAAGTCGATTGTACCATTTGTTCTTTTGCATTTCAATTAAGAATGAAATACAATAGTTAAATAGTAAAAGTTATTTCATTATTCTGTTTTAGTGTCTAACCAAAAAGCAGATTTCGACCCCTATTTCCAACATTTAGTTTAAAGTTTTTCAAATAACGCCTCTCAAAAACATTATATTTTATTCTCTCTGGTTTACACTACCGGTCAAAAGTTTTAGAACAGTTTTTCTATTTTTTTACTTTTTACTGTTGATCGTTGAAACGTATTCTAAACTTTTGAATCATGAAAGTGTCCACCTTTGGCAGCTATAACAGCTGAACACACTCACGGCTCGTTCTTTTTACAATAGAAATCAAATATTCTTCAGAAAGTTCTTCCCAAATCTGTTGCAGAAGTTCCCATAAATGTGTGGCACTTGTAGGTTGCTTCACTCTTCTGTCCAGTTCATCCCAAACCAACTCGATGGGGTTTAAGTTTGGAGACTGTGCTGGACACTCCATGTTTCCATCTTGTTCTTTTTTCCAAAGGTAGTTTTGGCTTTGACTTTTGACATTTTTTTAACCTCTGTCTGTTCAGTTCTTACCTTTGTTCCATTTCATGTTCTTCATTGGACTTGCACGACTTGAATTGCAATAAACAAAAGGAAAAATGAGGGTGTTCTAAAACTTTTGACCGGTAGTTTATACGCAACGGAAGTTTTGCTGCTAGAAGGATTTAACTGAAAAATCGATGCAGTTTTGTGAATAAACATGTCCACTTGTTTTATAGCGACGCGTTTACTTTCGCGTCTTAGAGAGTAATTGTTGAACTCCGTGACGAGAAGCAGGTAGCGGCGAAGCGATAAACTCTCCTTTGTTCACTTGACACGGCGAGCTGAGCAGCAGAACTTCCGGGGCACAATAAAATAAGAGACACTGGTGTGATTTGAAATATACTTTTAATTAAATGTTTGAAATAGAGGTCAAAGTTTTTGGTTTGACACTAAAACGGAATTATGAACTAACAAACTGTTTTCCTATTTTATTGTTTTTCATTTTTAATTGAAATTGAAAAGAACAAATAGTACACAGACCGCACCGGCTTCTTCAGATGTGTTTTCTCGGAGATTTGAACTAGGACTTCTTGATCATAGTTCCACATGCAGTTTGATAAATCAGTTTACATTGGACTAGGCCAGTTACCGTAAATTCCGGACTACAAGCCTCTACTTTTTTCTCACACTTTGAACCTTGTGGCTGATAAAACGATGCAGCTGATATATAGATGAATTATTTGTTTGACACATTGTCCGTTCTGTGGTTTGGCAACACAGCGGATACACGTGGCTTGAGTGCAGAAAATGCTGCTGTCTGTGCGTTTACACATGGATCTAGGGTTACCATGAAGTTGCGACACGAGCTCACGATATTGTCAGCGCACTTAAATAGCTTATCGGCGTGTGATAAATAAGTTATGATGCTAAATGAACATTAGTGAGGGGGGATATGTCTTAATGACGAGAAGAAACGTCTCAAACTTCAGCAGCTGGACATTCACTCATACCTGATTGAAAGAACTTGCCCCGCTCCCAAGAGAGTCTGAAATCTACTGAAATCCTCCAAGACTCTGACATGATACAGACAAGACAGCAGCTTTTTCTGCAGGAGACATGTGCAGTAGAGTGTGAGGAGAGGGGGGTGATGCGCCACGGAAGATGCTGTTTGATTGTGCTTTGAACAGTTATTTAGCGCTTCATGCACACACCCTCCTCACGGAAAACACGCGAAGAAATACAGATGATGCAGCTTTTAAGTTAAAGGCGATTGATGTGGCTGTGGAAGAAGGAAATCGAGCTGCTGCACGTGCGCTCGACGTCAGTGAGTTGATGGTGAAACGTTGGCGACGGTAGCGCGACGAACTGACTCAATGCAAAAAGACAACAAAAGCTTTCAGAGGCGATAAAAGCAGACGACCCAAACTTAAACAATCTTGAAGACGTGGACACCTTATATTGCGGAAAATACAGTACTAAAGGTTGGGCACAGAGCGAGTGTTGATTAAACTAACAAAGTGGTCCATCGGAATTAGATCGGGATCTATTCCACAACCCAGGAGGACGACTTTAGCTTTATGCCTTTCTAGTGACAGCTGATCTAACGAGTTGGCGATTTCGGACAGTTTTATGTTGTTTGCGCTGTTTAAAGTCGCCATGATTATTTTGTAACTGAATAACACCAAACTTGACCTCTAGTATGGCCAACAAAACATTAAATCACACCACACGCAAATCCTCAATAAATGTTCAATTTTAAAATTTTGTTAAAATTTTGTTGATTCGGCTTATATTCAGGTGCGCTCAGTAGTCTGGAATTTACGGTATTTGGTTTTCCTTAAATGCACTGACTGTGGTCTAGTTATGTGTCCTGGCAAATGAACGCTTAACAAATTTTAGAACAGTTTGATTCATTTTATTTTCAGTCCTTCTTGGCACTCAGTAATGTAATCATTACAAAACTAAATTAAATCGTCCATGTGAACAATGATGCCACTTGAAACACTGATTGAAGAACTCTTAATACAGCGATTCCAAAACAATGCTTTCTCTTCTTTTTAAATTGTGTAAGAGATTTGTTTGGAAAATTAATAAAACTTGAAGTGAAATGGAAAAATAGAGACAAAAAAATTAAAAGCAAGAGTGAATCACCAGTGTCTCCTTGTGGGCCTAATGGGTAAGATACAAAGTGAGCAAAATGACAAATCCTCTTTGTTTTTCATCATTTCAAACAGCCAAACTCCATTTTCAGCCTCGTTCATTAAGAGGCGCAGAGGAGATGGGGCTGTAATTGGTGCATTCTCTGTGCTTTTGTGTTCTACAAAGAAACATTTAATTAGTTCTCAACCTTGTTTTGTTTTGTTTTCTTTGCAGATATGGGGATTCTACAAACAAGGCTACAAGTGTAAAGGTAAGACAAACAAAATAAGTGTGAATATTAAATTGTACAACTTTTGTGTTTTGACTGGTCCAGGTAAGAAGGCGAGCAGGACTATAATGGATTTGTTAAAGGTCCTATGTTAGTCTAAATTGATTTTTGTGAGCTTTTTATTTATGTTATAATGTTGTTACCTGGAGTTGTGTTTTGTTTCATTCACACATGTTTGCATTATTACTGTTTACATCTCTAAAGCTCAAAATGCTCTGTTCCAACTTTTGATGTCATGGAGTGGTAGTTTTCAAGTTTACATCTACCTTTTCTACCTTTTGTTCAGTAGAGATGGGTCATTCCAGGCCTGATTCTAGTGAAGGTGTGTGGAGTTTAAAAGTACTTCAGAGCACTTCCTGTAGGGATCTCTGTCCCTTAAGTATGAAAAATAATAAAATGGGAAAACAGTTATTTCATTATTCCGTCTGTCAAAATCATAATAACTAGAAAAGCACTCAGAGAGCGCAGACCTCCGCCAAGGACTACAGTCCCCCTCATATTAATTGTGTTTTCCATAAATATTTGTCTCGTATCTTTCAATTTGGAATATGAAAGAGGATCCCATTGTCCATTCCTGAGTCAAATTTCATGGGGTTTGGTCAATAATTAACCGAGATATTGAGAAACAAAATTTTTGGCCCCATTTACCACAATGTTAACTAAAATTTCAAAGTGATCCAGAATTCAGGATTTCTTCCGGATCACCCCCAAAATGAAATCAATTCTTCCTTTTCACATTTCCAACAAATCCTGAAAATTTCATCAAAATCAGTCCATAACTTTTTGAATTATGTTGCTAACAGACAAACAAACAAACAAACAGACAAACAGACAAACGCCGGCAAAAACATAACCTCCTTGGTGGAGGTAATAATAATTTTTCATCAGTTTTGATATTTTCTTTTTCTTCATTTCTCATTTTTCTTCAGAAAGTTCTTCCCAAGTCTGTTGCTGTTTACTGTCGATGAAAATGTTTTCTAAACTTTTGATTCATGAAAGTGTCCACCTTTGTCAGATATAACAGCTGAACACACTCGTGGCTCATTCTTTTTTACAACAGAAATCAAATATTCTTCAGAAAGTTCTTCCCAAGTCTGTTGCAGAAGTTTCCATAAATGTGTGGCACTTGTAGATTGTTTCACTCTTCTGTCCATTTCATCCCAAACCAGCTCGATGGGGTTTAAGTCTGGACACTGTGCTGGACTCTTCATGTTTTCAAGTTTACCATCTTGTTCTTTTTTCCTGAGGTAGTTTTGGCAGAGCTTGGACTTGTGTTTTGTATCTTTGATCTTTTTTTTTAACCTCTGTCTCTTCCATTCTTACCTTTGTACCATTTCAAGCTCTTCATTGGACTTGCACGACTTGAATTGCAATAAATAACTGGAAAAATTAAGGTGTTCTAAAACTTTTGACTGGTATTGTATGTGTAACAGAAGTCCTGCTGCTAGAAGGACTTACCTGAAAAATCATTGCAATTTTCTGGACAAGTATGCCGTCTTTTTTTATTGCGACGCGTTATTTTAGCATTTTATAAAGTCACTGTTGAATGGCGAGAAACAGGAAGCAGCGACAAACTTTCCATTGTTCAGTTGCCTCAATAGAACTATAATAAAAGTAGTTTTTATTATAGATCCATGATTGACAATGTAGCAGAACTTCAGAGACCAGAGAGAATAACATATCAAAATTAAAATAGGTACCGACACTGTTTTTTGAAATAAACTTTAAATTAAATATTGGAAATAGAGGTCGAAATAAGTTTTATGTTTGACACTAAAGCAGAAAAATAAAATAACAAACTATTTTCCCATTTTTATCGTTTTTCATTCTTGTCCACATGACATCTCAAGATGCAATGTTTTTTTTGTTTTTAGACACAAAAACTTTGCCTTAATATGCAAGATTTGTTCAAACGTGTGAAAGAAACAATACAGAACTTGTATTTTTGATGACGAAACAACATTATAACATTGGAAAATATCATAATATGGGACTTTTAAAGAAAATATCTCCACTAAGATTTCTAGATACTCGTGATAGTAAAGAGGAGAAAAGGAAAAAGCTGAGAAGAGCTTGTTCAAATGAATCTTGGTGGAGGGAATGTAGATTTTCTGTTTCAATTTATGCTGTAGCTTCTGATAGACGACTTTTTGTGCTTATCTAATGTAAAAAAGGTCTAAATATACAAATATATGTGACACAAAAAACAACTCCAGGTATGTTTTGGATGAAGGAAGTGCATTTTTGTTTGATAGAAAGCTATAGAATTCCTCTCCACAATGACCCTCTTAAATCCTTTATAATTACGATTACTTAAATATGAATGTTATTTAATTTAGGATCACTCAAGCAAGACCGACTTTAATTAGCACGACCAAAATGAGAATGGTTTGAGTTGGTTTTCATCGTGGACACAGACACAGAAATCATAAAGAAAAAGTGTACGTTTCAGCAGAAGTTTGACTAAATCACCCAGTACGCAGAAGCAAACTAAATATAAGTTCGGTCTCACAGAAATGCTAAATTTAAGATGGTGGAGGCTTTAAATTTAGCAGAGGTTTGACCGAGAGACCACATATGAGGAAGGAACCGAAATAAGGTCTAAAATTAAGATGGTGACTTTTTTATTTTTTTTTTATTTTTGCATTTTCATTGTTATTCATGATTTACCGTATTTTTTGGATTATAAGTAGCACTTTTTTCATGGTTTGGGTGGTCCTGTGACTTAAACTACCAATCAAAAGTTTTAGAACACCACATTTTTTCCATTTTTTTTACTGTTTAATGTTGACCAAAACATATTCTAAACTTTTGATTGATGAAAGTGTCCACCTTTGGCAGATATAACAGCTGAACACACTCGTGGCTCGTTCTTTTTACAATAGAAATCAAATATTCTTCAGAAAGTTCTTCCCAAGTCTGCTGCAGAAGTTTCCATAAATGTGTGGCACTTTGTAGGTTGTTTGACTTTCACTCTTCTGCCCAGTTCATCCCAAACCAGCTCGATGGGGTTTAAGTCTGGACACTGTGCTGCTGGACACTCCATGTTTTCAAGTTTTACCATCTTGTTCTTTTTTCCTGAGGTAGTTTTGGCAGAGCTTGGACTTGTGTTTTGTATCTTGTATCATTTTTTTAACCTCTGTCTGTTCAGTTCTTACCTTTGTTCCATTCCGAGCTCTTCATTGGACTTATATATGTTTTATTCTTCTTCATTATGCATTTTTTGGCTGGTGCGACTTATTGTCTGAAAAATACGGTATTTGCTATTGTCATGTACAGTTTTTTTTATACACTACGTTATACAGTCAATGTTTCTTTTGAATATATTTTTACTCCTTTCTACATTTGATAAACATAAATACATCAAATATATAAAGTAAGATGTAGCAAAGAAAACAAAGTTAAATAATGCTACTAATGTATGTATTTATTTATTTGTTTGTTTTAATTTATGTATGTATTTATTTGTTTGTTTATTTATTTATTTTTGTATATTTCATAACCAAATCCTCAAATTACCCAAATTTTACTTAAAAAAAAAATGTCCTGAAGTTATTTCTTTCTTTCTTAACCAAATGAGTCCATATATCTCACTTCATATGTTTGATGTCTTCTGTATGTGTCTAAAATGTAGAAAGTAGTAAGACAAAAAAAAAAAAAAAATCCTGTGTAATCCTCCAGTCCTCCAGGTATGATCCATAGCAAAAGAAAATGTTATTCTCTCAACTAGATAAAAGTTTTAGAGGGGGAGATTTGTTTTGAAATTCATATAAACAACCAAACTAAATAGTGTCATCTTTCTGTGCTGCCCCCTGGTGTCTGGAGGTGGTATCTTTTTCGCATCTCACCAGCAAACAACCTTAAAAATCCTAATCTTTCCTTTATCTTTTCTATCAAACCTCTGCAAACACGACTTGGCTCACACGCTCATAATGGACCTGAACACTGAACTATTTGCTCTTCCTGATAGTCCAATATTTGACCAGGCTGCTTCATTTCTCAGCGCACACAGTCAAGTCCATTCATTTAGCCGTGAAAACCACCTTTTCCCAGCGCAGCCTCCTCCGGTCAGAGTCCAGAAGGAACATTGTGCAGACTTAGAAGAACTTAGTCCAGTTTATGTTTTGCTGCAGATCCTTGGCAATAAGTTGCAAATTCATGAGTTTTTACATTAGTCAAAGAGCATTTTATTGACCTACTACTACCACTACTACTACTACTACTACTACTACTACTACTACTACTACTACTACTTCTGCTGCTGCTGCTGCCCTACAAAGGAAAAACTCATACTCAGACCTGCCTGTGCTTGAATTCATCAGTTACAACATTCTGAGTTGAAGTTACTGCAGTTTGGAACTGAAGAAACTGTAGATACTGTAAAATTAACATCAAGATTTCTCAAGAAAAATTGTTGAGCCATAAATGATTCTCACCAAATAAAACAGGCGTTAAGAAGGTAGTTTTAATTTTGACAAAATAAGCTGTTACAGTGTTTTTTTTTCTTTGGAGGGCTGATTACTTAGCCAGGCTGGCGCCACCTAGTGCCTCCGCTCAGTTTCATTTCTCTCCAGCGACTAGGTCAGGAATCAAAATACACTAGACGGTTCACAAAAAAAAAAGTGCAAGTTCAGGCATCAGCCAATCAGCGAAGAGCCATACATCCTGTGTTGTCAACGATTCCCAGGATCGAGGACCGTAACAAAGAGAAAGTTTGGTGAATTTCATCAAGGGGAAAGATGTTATTGTCCTTCTTTCTACAGGATTTGGGAAAAGCTTAATATACCAGTTAGTCCCATTAGCAGCGCATTACATACGTTACGACCAAATAGCAGCAATTGGTTAAATGATAAAAAGTACCACCTACTGTCGAGCGAACGAATTCTAACACTGCAAAGTCAGATGGTTTCTAAGAAGTGAAACCGTCTGATGAATCAGGCTATTGATTACTTCCACCACCACTACTATTCCTACTGTTACTATGTGTACTACTGCTACTTCAAGTCCTTTGGAGAAGTACCTTTCTACTAATACTACAAAAAAAAAAAAAAAAAAAATCACCATCATGTTGGCGACACAGTAGCTGAGTGGCTTGCACTCACGCTTCACAGCAAGAAGGTTCCAGGTTTGATCCCGGATCACCTGAGCCTTTCTCTGTGGATGTTCTCCCTGTGTCTGGGTGAGTTTCCTATAGGCATTCTGTGTTCCCCCAACAACACAGAACATGCACCATGGGTACAATCCTCCAGCTAAGCCAGTCCTAACCAAGACTAGTAACAAGATCATGGAGATGGTCCCTGGGTGCTGCCCTCTGCTCCTGAGGAGATGCCCCAGCAGCATTACAGGATGAGTCAAATGCAGAGGACAAATTTCCCTATTTATTATCCTAAATATAAACATAAATAAATAAAATAAATAAAGATGGAACCAAGCCACAAGCCACACAGTGAATCAATTGTATGGGCTACTTGCTCATGTTACTCAAATTAGGTTTTGTAAATTAAGACTTAAAGAGCCACACTGCTTTATTTTCTGATCTGTTATACTGTAGTTTCATTTTCACAAACAGACCTGGAGTTGTGTTTTGTTTCATTCACACGTGTTTAACACACAAAACCTGCATATTTAAGCTGAGTTCTTCTCTCAAACTGAAAACACTGCTCCACCTTGTGATGTCATATTGTAATACAGGAATTAAACCCTGTACATCTTCACTAGAATCATTTGGATCACTTCAGCCCTGGAATTGTCGATCTCTGCTGAACTAAAGGAAAAAATGCAGCTGTGAACTTGAAAACGACCGCTTCATGACATCACAACGTGGAACTGAACAATTCAAAGTCAATTTCCCATAATATGAAGTACCTTTAAGTAGTTTATGCAAATTTTTTGGTTGACAAAAAATAAAATACAAAATCTTGTTACCGTGTTAATTGTCACATAAGGACCCGCTGTATCCCCAGTGTCACATGCAGACAAGCTCATTAGAACAGGTTAATTTCACGTGGAGTAGCGGTGGTGCGTTGAAAAGCTAACATGCTCAGACATCAGACCGTGGTAGCGTAGCAACAGCAGTAATTAACAGTGGCCCTGGTGGAGTTGAGTTCTGGGAAAATATGACAGGACAATGGGCAGGAGCTGGCGGTTCGGATATCGCTAAGCCTAATTGAAGGTTGGAGCTGTTCAGTTTAAATGAGGTGAACTTTGCGTTGCTTGAATAGGCAAACTTATTTGAACTATTAATGGTGCTTTACCTGATTTGTACTGTCTCAAAAAAGAGCAAAACAAAACGAGTTTATCTTTAACTGTTTGCATAGACTATTCCGCACTTAAAGCATTCTGAGTATCCTAATTATTATCATGAGTTTTTAAGTGCTTTTCAAAACTTTCAGAAGCCAGTTTACTTGTTTGGATTATTTAGGCTACGTTCAGACTGCAGGGCTTAATGCTCAATTCGGATATTTTTGTGAAATCTGATTTTTTGTGCGAGGTGGTTCACATTTCCAGTTAAATGCGACGTGTATGTGATCTCCAATGTGAACTTTAAACGACCCAAAAGTGTCTCGCATGCTCACTGGAGGACACAACGATGTCACACTCAGCGAGCGTGCTCAGTGTTTACGGAAGTCGCCTAAACGCTGGGCTTGTCTCCCAAAATACAGTCCAGTTCTTCGTAAAATGGACAGGTTACACGTCCATGGCCGCTTCGTTTGTTTGACACTTAAGCCTGCTTGTATTTTTATTGTATTTATTTTTCGTTGACATTGGAGCCAGGACGCCTGTAGTCGCGCTCGGACATTTCTTTGGCAATAATTTTTTTTAAAAGCCCGGTTCCGATAAGACTCCTCCAATTTGGCCTGAATACAGCGATCCCTCCAAATATTAATTAACTCGCTAACCTCACTTTCCCTCCATTGACTAGACACTGAGCCTGATGCGTAGGTGGGATGAATTTGACCTGGCTGTTCAGAGTGAAGTCACATGTCTAAAGAAATATGTATCGGTTTTAGGAGCACATATCCAAGTGGCCTGAGTCGCATTTGAAAAACATCGGATCTGTGTCGTTCAGACTGTCATTAAAAGATCAGATACAGGAGCATATTTGGGTCACTTCAGGTTGCAGTCTGAACATAGCCTTAGTTTAGTTTACAGGAACCATGTACAGGAGCATTAATCTCAGAAACACTGAAGAAATGCTTTACACAAGACTGTAGTTCTTGGAGCTTTTTCATCTATGTCCCTGAGACAGACAAAAAACAGAATACTGAAATAGCGTAAACAATGCAATCTATATATAAACTGTTATAAAAAGAACAATGACCTTAAATGTCTCTACCCCATTCCCTCCCTCCTCCCTCTGCCCTTAATCAGCTGTAATTTATTTTAATGTTGAAAAATGAGTTCAGCAGTAAACTAACCAGCTAACAACGCATCAGCATTACTTCCTGGTTCGCGGATGATAAAAATGCTTCATAATTAGATGCAGACAGCACACAACTGTCTCATTTTATCATTTTCCCAAAGATTTTTCTGGGGACCCATATTTTAAAAGTTGCAAAATCACAAAATAAAGGTGGATTTGACCATTACTGAACATTAATGAGGATATTTTATTGTTGACAGAGTGATCGTGTCGCTCTGAACAATTAGTATTACTCAGTAAACCAGCAATAAAAGGGATCCGTAAGTATCCTGAATTGCACTGACCTTTGCTGATTTATCACCCTTCTTTTTGGAAAACCAAGCAGCATTTCTCAACTTTAGCTGCAGGAACTCTCAATCAGGGCAGGCACAGAGGATTCGCTGACTCACTCGCTCTCTCATGTGTCAGAACTGTATATTTCAGAGCTACATGCAGATCGTGACAAAACAACCCCCCCAAAAAATCTCTTGCAACCCACCTGACGGTCACGACCCAGTCTTTGGCAAACACTGTATTATTTTGATATAATATTAATATACTAAGAATATACTACGGATTTTTAATAGACTAAGCTCCTCTGTGTTTCTGAAGTCCATACAGCTCTACATTTTCTCAGATTGCCTCCTTTACCAGTTGATGAAAACATTAAAGATAAGGTGATTTACCATAACAGTAAATCTTTGCTTTGGTAGTTGTGAAATGCTTATAAACTCATTATGTTGAATAATTAGAAACCTCTGAATTTGGACCACTACAAACCATTTAGAATGAACTAGTTATGTTCACGTTTTTTGAGACTGGTTCAGGGCACTTAAGGTAACAATTTAAGGTTGTGAAACAAATAGAGGTGGGGATTTGCAAGTTGTGACTTGGACTCGAGTCAGACTTGAGTCACTATTTTTAGTACTTGAGACTTAACTAGATAAAATGGACTAAGACTTGGGACTTCTCCTAAAAAATGTGTTTTTAGAAAATACTTTTCTCTTTACAGTTAATAAGTGCAGTGCATCATTTTACAGAGACAAACTGGAACATGTCCCTCCTGCTTCTCTTTTTTGTTACTTTGGATGGAACTGAAGTACTGTGAGATGGTATCATCAAAAGTACTACAGTAATACACAGTACAATACAGTAAAACAGAGGGAACTACATAGAACATGCTCCTTCCATTTCAGTGCAGACTACTTGACAAAATAACTGTTATGCCTTTTAAAATCTTAATTCTTTCTATTCTGACTGTAATTATTTGCATTAAAATCTTGTCTTGGAAAAATGTGCATTTCTATAACTCTTATATACCAAGACATATAAGTATAATTTAGCTTAGAAGTCATATACATTTCAAAAATCTAAGTTACTTAGAGTTAAAGACTTGAAAGGACTTGAAGCTCAAAGCAAACAACTTGGACTTGACTTGGAATTATGGGCCAGTGGTTTGAAATTTGACTTGGTCTTGCGTGTCTTTGACTTGGACTTGAGGTCAAAGACTTGAGACTTACATGAGACTTGCAAAACAATGACGTGGTCCCACCTCTGGAAACAAGTAAAGACAGTTTGATTGTTTATTGTTACTTCGCCTTCCATCTCCGTCAGACCTCTCCCAATTCTCTGAGCTCGTATCCAGCAGCGTGAGCCTCACCTCCTGCATGTGTGACTGTTCGTGCTCCTGCAGCCGCCACAAGTCTGCCTCTCCATTTGTTCCCACTGTGTTCATCCCTTTAACTGACCTGCCCAATTCTCCGTTCTGTCTTTTGTCCCGTCACCGCTCTCTACCCCTCCACCGCCTGCCCCGCCCGAACCTGTCCCTGTCCCGGGTGCGCTCCCTGCCCGTCTGCCTGTCGCCGCTGCCTGCAGCCTGCGGAGTGAACTGCCACAAAGCGTGCCGCGGTCGCCTGGCGGTGGAGTGCCGGAAGAGGACCAAGAGCATCAGCCACGAGAGCCCGCCGGCCCTGTCCGCACGCTCCTACAGCTTCCCCCCGCCCGCCAACACCCCGCCCAGCCTGCAGGACTCAGGTGAGCTGACACGCTTTCACTAAAACGATACACTACTGTTATCAAATGAATGCACACGAGAATCTGTCTTGTGATCAGACCAGTCACAGAGCAGCATTTTACCGCTTACAGTTGGTCCAAAATTCTTCTGCGCGACTTCCAGTTCGTTTTAGACTTGATTTAAGATTTTATTGTTTGTTTTTAAAGCTTTGAATGGACTGGCCCCACGTTATATCTCAGACCTCATCCAAGTTTACACGCACTCTGAGATGCAAGGGCCAGCTCCTGTTCATGGTGCCTAAAACGAGACTTAAAACCAGGGGGACAGAATGTTCTTTGTGTCCTGCCCCAAACTCTGGACCCCACGTCCAAACAGCCCCCACAGTGCAGAGTTTTATGTCTCGTCTTAGGACCCACTTTTATTCTCTGGCTTTTAACACCTTGTGAGTTGTGTGGTCTTCTGTGTGTTTCGTTTTATTTTTATGTGTTTTACCTTTTTATTATTTATTGGTTTTCTTGCTCTTATTTGATTTTACTAGTTTTATTGTCTTAACGAGGACTAGTGGTGTTAACTAGGGCTTTATTTTATATTTCTATTGGATATTTTTATTTGTATTGTGCGGCACTTTGGAAACTGTTTTGTTTATGAAATGTGCTATAAAGTGGATTGGTTTTTGGTTTGGCCACAACAATCATGACGGTGGATGAGAATTTTATTTTTCTCACAACTGGACTTAACAGATGTTTGATTTCTCTGTTTGCTCCGCTGGTGTGATACATTTCCCAACCAGAAAAAAATATTCCTCTCAATGTTTTGCCTGTTGGCAAATGCTTTTAGCGAGAGCAATCACAGATTGTTAATGTGTAAAACTGGATTCAGAGTGCTGGACTTCATCAGTCTGGTCTAGGGCTGCTGGATTATGGGAAAAAAAATCATTATCACAGTTATTTTGGTCAATATTGAAATCACGATTATTGAAATGATTATGTTTTAGTTACATAAAGCATTTATTCAGTAATTCTCTTCCTCTAAAAAAAAAAAAAAAAAACCAACAAATAAGAAAAAAACACTTTGCTATTGATAATGCTCGCAAAACTTTCTCATTGAAATACCGGTACCGGGCCGTGGGTCGTTTGGTACCGGGCTGTGAAAGCACGAACCCCCCTCCCCTACACCACGTGGACCGTCCCCCTCCTGTACGTCATGCGGGCTGTGCCACTAAACCAGAACTAAACCAGGTCTAAACCAGGACTAAACCAAAACTAAACCAGGACTAAACCAAAAGTAAACCAGGACTAAACCAAAACTAAACCAGGTCTAAACCAGGACTAAACCAAAACTAAACCAGGACTAAACCAAAACTAAACCAGGTCTAAACCAGGACTAAACCAAAACTAAACCAGGACTAAACCAAAACTAAACCAGGTCTAAACCAGGACTAAACCAAAACTAAACCAGGTCTAAACTAGAACTAAACCAAAACTAAACCAGGTCTAAGCCAGGACTAAACCATGTCTGAAACAGGTATAAAAACAGGTCTAAAACAGGGTCTAAAACAGGATTTAGCCAGTACCACGAACCACGCCTCCACTCATACGCCGCCCCAACCCCCTCCGGTCCTCGAAATATTGCCTGATATAAAACCGACTCTAAAAACTGGCTCTAAAAAGTTTGGGGACCACTGCCTTATAGCACTTTTGCGATGTATAAAAATAAAATGAACAAAATATACTTTGAACATTAAATAAGGCATAGAAAAAAACATAAATGCATCCAAAATAAACTATATACCCAGCTGTTCTACAATCTCTCTCTATAAAAAAAAATTAAATAAATATACTCATTTATATAAAAAATATCCCATGTGAATCCTCGTAAAACTACAGTCGTCGTAAACCTGTCCTCACTTTCACCGTAAATCTGGCCTCTGCCATGTTATCCACCCCACTTTTACCTTCAGTGTTTGTGAGTTTGCACTTTGTTCTTTGGACTCAGATATTTCACAATCTACTCATTTAACATTTTCCCGTACAAAGATACATGAGCCCTTGCCCCTCATCTAAAATGTTTACGTAATCTAATTCTACAGCATTAACAAAACCTTTTACCAGGCTCGGGTTTATCCAACATTAGCAGATAAATATCAACGCTGAAACCAACAAACAGACTGTCACTTAGCTCTATATCCAAACCCCATCTCCATAATTGACATCTCCCAGAATCCGCTGCACTTTCGGCGCAGAAGGGCACTCCACCTCTCCTCTGGTGTGACATTTCAGACACATGCAGGCACAATACTGCTCCATTTGCATTGGTAATGTGATTGGCCCACTGCGGAGGGGCCAGTGACTCACAATCTCACCAAACGCATAATCCTGGCGAGGCTTAAAACGCGATCAAAGAGTCAGACAATAGCGCTATGGATTGACACGGATCGGGCGTTTGCTTAGCTTTTAGCACAATTGTTGCCTTGTGTTTGTGCGTGACCCGTCGATGTGCTCTGTCTGAATCTGATTGCAGTAATCGAGGAGGAGGATATCGAGTCGGTGGAGGAGGGCGTGTTCGATGTGCACCTATAACCAGGTAAGACATGACCAGAATCTGTAAATGTCTGAGTGGAACTTGAATAATCTGATATTTTTGGTGTAGATTTGTGGTGTGTGTTTACATGCACAAACAAAATCTCATCACCAAAAACTAGGGATGTAACGATATCTAAATCTCTCAATACGATACTTCCACGATATGCATCTCACGGTACGATATTTATTGCGATATTTTGTGGAGGCAAACAAAACTGTGAACAGAGGTGAGGACTTGCAAGTCGTGACTTGGACTCGAGTCAGGCTTGAGTCACTATTTTTAGGACTTGAGACTTGACTTGATAAAATTCACTAAGACTATGGACTCGACTTAAAGGTTAATGACTTGGGACTCAATTTGGACTTAAAGGTCAATGACTTGGGACTCGACTTGGACTTAAAGGTTAATGACTTGGGACTCGACTTGGACTTAAAGGTCAATGACTTGGGACTCGACTTGGACTTAAAGGTTAATGACTTGGGACTCGACTTGGACTTAAAGTCAATGACTTGGGACTCGACTTGGACTTAAAGGTCAATGACTTGGGACTCAACTTGGACTTAAAGGTCAATGACTTGGGACTCGACTTGGACTTAAAGGTTAATGACTTGGGACTCGACTTGGACTTAAAGGTCAATGACTTGGGACTCGACTTGGACTTAAAGGTTAATGACTTGGGACTTGACTTGGACTTAAAGGTCAATGACTTGGGACTCGACTTGGACTTAAAGGTTAATGACTTGGGACTTGACTTGGACTTAAAGGTCAATGACTTGGGACTTGACTTGGACTTAAAGGTCAATGACTTGGGACTCAACTTGGACTTAAAGGTCAATGACTTGGGACTCGACTTGGACTTAAAGGTTAATGACTTGGGACTCGACTTGGACTTAAAGGTCAATGACTTGGGACTCGACTTGGACTTAAAGGTCAATGACTTGGGACTCGACTTGGACTTAAAGGTCAATGACTTGGGACTTGACTTGGACTTAAAGGTCAGTGACTTAGGACTTGACTTGAGAAGCACTTTTAAATCTGTATTCTTTCTATTCTGACTGTAATGATTCACACTCAGATCTTGTCAAGACATTTAAAAATGAAAAATTAACATTTCTACAACTCATATACAACTTTTATACTCAATAAATACTCACATATAAATATGACGATGACTTTATAAGTACAGTTTACCTTAAAAATCATAAATTGCAAATCTCAGCTATATGTGGTACTTTGGTTTAAAGACTTGAAATGACTTGGGACTTGACTCGGACTTGAGGTCAAAGACTTGAGACTTGCAAAACAATGACTTGGTCCCACCTCTGACTGTGAATATCCTACTTTTTCCTCTTTAAAATGCCTTGACAAGACTTTGGCTCTATCATAATCCAAAGAATTAAGACTTAAAAGTACTTAGTAAGAGTTATTTCTTCATGAAGTCTGCACTGAAACGGAGCAAAGGATCATGGTCTATGTAGTTCCCTTGTTTTTTTTAGCTATATTGCTGCACTATAACTATTTATTTAAGCTGAGAGACTTAATTCAATATATTGTGATGGCCTATGATATTATTGTGAGACTCTTGGCAATAGTATATCACAATATTTTGGTTATTGTGACATCCCTACCAAAAACACACAGTAAAATATGTCAAATATGTTGAATATAACTAAAGTAAAGTAAAGTACCGTTCATTTTAAAGGTCCCATATTACTCAAAATGAACTCTTGTGAGCTTTAAGTCATGTTAGAATGTTGTTACCTCCTCAAAAACAGACCTGGAGTTGTGTTTTGTTTCATTCACACATGTTTGAGGAATCCTTTATTATTAGTCTGTCTACATCCCCAAATCTCAAAATGCTCTGTTCCACCTTGTGATGTCATGAAGCATTAGTTTCCAAGTTAACAGCTCCTTTTACCTGTTGTTCTTTAAAGATTCAATCAATCAATCAAACGTTATTTATAGAGTGCTTTTCATACAAATAATGCAACACAAAGCGCTTGATTGGCAATTCCAGGTCTGAAAGTATCTAAATTATTCTAGTGACGAGTGCTTTTTGATCTAAATATGCAGATTGTGTGTTGAACATGTGTGAATGAAACAAAACACAACTCCAGGTCTGTTTGTGATGAGGAAACAACATTATAACAGATCAGAAAATAGGGATCTTTAAGGGACGTTTGTGCATTCTGTGTTCTGTATGTCTCAGGGACTGCAGATGGAAATGAGCTCTGAGTGCTTTAGTCTGGTACAAAGCTTCTCTTCAATGTCTCCTTATGTATCCTATACATTGTTGCTGTAAAAAAATAAAAATAAAAAATAATGTACAGCAAGTTTTCTCACTAAGCCAGAAGTTGGTGGTTCAGTCTCAACTCTGTCTGGTGCTTAGACTTAAGGCTGCCGCACACTACAGGAGAATTTGCCCGATTTTGACTGAGATTTCCTTCTTTGTTCCGACTTTGTGTCTTCATGTGCAATTTTGAAGCCCCTCTGCTCCTCGTGTGTGTGGTGTCAGTGTGACTCTGAGCTGAAAGAATAATGAGAAGACTTTCCTCACCTCTCGGAAACTTGTAAATTTAAATTGCAGTGTCTCTTCTACATTATCCATAAAAATCGTCCTCTGTGCGATTAATCCAGTTTGAAGCATTCTTTAAAAGTAAAAAGGCGAGATTAGTTCCTCACATGTGTCTGTTTACATCCACACAGCGCATGGATTGAGGTGAAGCTCCAGATTAGCGATGGAGACTCTATTTCCTGTGGACTTTATCGCCAATCTAGCCTGATTCATCAGCCCGTTTCACTTTGTGGAAACCATCTGACCTCGAAAGTGTTAGAATTCGTTCGCTCGACAGTAAATTTTTTCATTAAACCAATCGCTGCTATTTGGTCATGATGTATGTAATGCGCCACTAACGGGGATAACTGGTTTATTAAGCTTTTCCCAAAGCCCGTATGAAGAAGGACAAAAATGTCTTTCCCTTGATAAAATTCACCAAACATTCTCATTCTCTGGTGCCTGAACTCACACTTCCGGGGTTTTTACGAAACATCAAATGCATTCCGATTCCTGACCTAGTCGCTGCAGAGAACTGAAATTGAGTGGAGGCACTAGGTCTTTAATGATTTAAAAATCATGTATCTGAAATAATAATAATACTAATACAATTAATAATAGCACAGTTTTGTTTTGTATCTAAACTAGAAGTGCAGTGCTCTGATCTTTGAACACTTAAGAGACTCTTAAGTGAGTAATTTTACTGTAGACAGGAAACAGCCGGTGGACACGATGCGGTGCGCTCACTACTTATGATGTGCAGCCATACCCCGGAGCAGTCTTTGAGATTGGAGATTTAAAATCTCATAAGATTCGCCTTGTGTCTGTGGTGTGCGCTTTTTGTCCCATGTTTAAAAGTAATTTAAGATCGAAAAATCCTGTAGTGTTTGGCGGCTTTTAGACAAATTATTAGGGAAAATATTTATGTTTTTTTATGATTTTGTTGCATCCTTTGGCAAGACACTTTACCCACCTTGCTGAAGTACAGTGATTTGTGAGACTGAATGCAAGACAACGCATGGCTACAGTCTGGAGTTTACTTGCACTGCCTCTTAGCAATTTAACAATAACATCAATATCGTGATATTGTATCATCAAAAGTCTCACAATAATATACATAATAAGTTCCTTTGCTTAAATACATTGTTTTAGCAGCAACAGCTTACAAACATCAGGAACTACATATCCCATGATTCATTTCAGCGCAGACAACATGAAGAAACATGTTTTTGACTTGAATTCTTGGGATTATGATGGAAATAACTCACACCAAAATCTTGTCAAGGTATTTCGAAAGCATCTACAATTATATTAGTCTCTTCAGATTATTGTAATAAATATCACACTGTCAGATTTGGATATCATCTTAAATAATTGCCAATTGTAAATTTCAAAGGCTGAAATTATATGTGACATGTAAAACTACAAAATTTTGACAAAAATTTTGACTTTTTTTTGTGCTTTTTAAACATAATATTGATAAACTAACTCCAATCTGCAAAACATCACATATTAAATGACTATAATTACTGCCCAAATCAAACCACTGGAAAAGAATGAAGATTTTTGCCACCAACTTTGCGATGAGCTGGAACGTAAATGTCACTATATAATTCCATAACATTTGAAGTTACGTGTAGCTCGTGGCAAATTCTGATTGATCAGGCCGTTCTAAATCCTGTTTGAATCATTTCACCATACCGCCTCGCTAATAGCTATCATTATTTATTTCACCGCAGCTTCAGAAATTGAGAAAAAATGCTCCAAAACGGATTCTCCATACACATCAGCTTCATTCCGCAGATGCTACTGTCCTAAAGGCAGACGATCCATCACAGATCCAACGTTAATGCATTTTTAATCGTTTCCTCTTGCAGCGATTGCACCTGTATTGATTCAAATGGATTATAACGTGTCAATTTTATTTATTTTAGAGTCCGGACCATGAGAAATGAAGAGCCGAGCTGAGATTGTGCTACTTCAAAGCGAGGAGACTGCAGGATGTGTACAGACACCGCCCCCTAGTGGACTTTTAACGACGGTGCAGAGACAAACTATTGAATGTGATCATGGATTTGCCTTGGATCAATGTTAAATATAAACTCAGAGTGTGGATTCTACGTGTTTATGAAGAATGTTTTAAATAGATAGACATTTAGTTTGAATTTGTATAGAAAAACTTGTAATTTACACACATTTATAGGTTTATTATTATGTTGCAGGATGTTTAAAGGTCTTATATTATGTTAAAATCACATTATAGTGTAATTACGTAGGGATGGTTTAATGTGGGTATCAATATCTAATACTAAAAACAGATACATAAAGGGAATTATTTTACATTACCAATCATGAATATAGTCTACAAAATTAATCATTCTGAATCTGAAAAGGAGCGGGGAGAAGCAAATACGTATTCACCCTCTTTTAAAATGCCATTAGAGCAACAATCTGCTTCTGCCATGTGATTCGTGACGTGATCAATTTGATGGATCAGTCGATGATTAACATTAATGTGATTTATAATCACCTACAGAACGTAAATCGTAGACTACAACACATGAAACAGGACTAAAATAGGTCTAAAGCAGGACTAAACCAGAAAAAAAAAAAGTCTAAACCAGGACTAAACCAGGACTACACTAGGACTAAACTAGGACTAAACCAGGACTAAACCAGATCTAAACCAGGACTAAATCAGGACTACAACAGGACTAAACCAGATCTAAACCAGGAATAAACAAGGAATAAACCACGACTACACTAGGACTAAACTAGGACTGAACCAGGTCTAAACCAGGAATACACTAGGACTAAACCAGGTCTACACTAGGACTAAACCAGGACTAAACCAGATCTAAACCAGGACTAAATCAGGACTACAACAGGACTAAACCAGATCTAAACCAGGACTACACTAGGACTAAACTAGGACTAAAACAGGAGTAAAACAGGACTAAACCAGGACTAAACCAGGACTACATTAGGACTGACTCAAGTGTAAACCAGGACTAAACCAGGACTAAACCAGGAATAAACCAGGACTAAACCAGGTCTAAACCAGGACTAAACCAGGAATAAACCAGGTCTAAACCAGGTCTAAACCAGGACTAAACCAGGAATAAACCAGGTCTAAACCAGGTCTAAACCAGGACTAAACCAGGTCTAAACTAGGACTAAACCAGGTCTAAACCAGGACTACACCAGGTCTAAACTAGGACTAAACCAGGTCTAAAACAGGACTAAACTAGGACTGAACTAGGACTAAACCAGGTCTAAATCAGGACTAAACCAGGTCTAAACCAGGACTAATCTTGGACTTGAGATCGAGAGAGAGAAACAGAGTCTGTGGAGCAGGGCGTCTGCAAAGTGCGATCGGGCTACGGCTGCACTGTGTGGAGCTCTGCACTGGTCCTTTCGCCCGTGGTCATCTGACCTGTTTTTGCGAGCGCAACCACCCATTTTAATAATCAAAACAGTGAAAATGTCAAATATGTTGTGCAAATGAGTTTCCTTCCTCTAAACAAACAACAAAACTATAGCGCTGTAACAAAATAATTTAGTAAAATATACCAAAAAATACAATTGGCGATATATCGATACAGCAGCCCACGATATCGATACTGTATCATCACATTAAACGATACGATATGACGATATATTGATATTTTTGCACACCCCTAATGCATAATATAGGACCTTTAAATGAAATGAAATAAAAAATATGATATGACAGAAGACAAAAGATCATTCAGTGTAGTGTATTACTGCATTATAGCCTGTAGGTGGTGCTATTTTCCCACTTGGACCAATGAAATCATAGGTGGTTATGTTTAGTTAAGCCGTCTATTGACCGAGGTCCAAGGATTAATTAAAAAAAAAAAAAAAAAAAAACATATAAAATGAACTTCTCCTAGTGGCAAGCTATTATTCTTTGGATGCATTTAAGACTTTTGTGAATTCTGTCGACAGCACGTCCAAGGCAACATCTAAAGTACTTCTATGTTTTCAGAAATACATTTAATAACACCGATTTTGCTGTCTGAAAAATACTCTTTTTGTCACCATAGCAACAAAAGAATGAAAACAGCATGGACCTTTAAAAAAAATAAAAACCTAGGTATAAATGATTTGTTTACCCTTTAGATGAAGTAGTGCCGTTTGTAGCAGTCAGACATTGAAGTACTGTGAATGTAGCACAAAAATATATATATGCGTTTGATTGAATTTGTATGTTATTATTATGAATTTTTTTTTTATTTATGACAAGAAATCCTGAAGAATGTTCCAGACTAAATATGGGCTTGTGTGGGTATCATCCGCTGTTCTGTTCCGCTTTGCCCTATAGAGTCGATTGTAAAAGTAGAAATTAGTGAAATCAGTTGTAAAATAAACAATTTTTATCGATTAGTCTAGTTAGAGGTAGCATTTTTGTTGCTGTTGCCATGACGATCATATCTGAATTAAAATACGTGCATGTAAATGATTGAAAAAAGGTTCGGGTTCAAGGTTGAGATGTTGCAGAAATGACTTTATGGAACGTATATAAGAGCGTTTTCTTTTATAAAATCCAAAATGATCACAATTCCTGGTCAATGTCAAACTTGACTTGTGCAGATATTAATAATTTTGAAGTGGGACTAATGGTGCGTTCGATTATCCGTCCATCTCCCACTCGGATTTCGGAAATGACGTTACATAAATATGAACGGACATAGATGATTCAGTAGTCGACCTGTTTCGGTTTCACGTGTCCGACTTGAAGTTAAAGTGGACGAAAACCGAAAAGCTGTTATTGCTGTTGTTTATCTTCTGTTATCAAGCCCCTTTGTTCAATATTGGTCACACCACAACACCGACTACCACACCCATTAACGTTTTGCATGTGACCTGTCGCCGTATTGGAGTTCTGACTATCTATCTGGACCAATGTGTAGTATGTGTGTAAAATTGTGTAAAAAATAAAATAAAATAAGAAGGACGCGCTGTGCACTTTTCACTTTCGCCGGCATGGAATCTCCCCCTCAATTCGGTTCTGATTTTGACCCCCATTCTGCTTACCCTGACTGTTATCAGGAACAGATGTGATGGTTTGGTGATCAACAAAGATCTCACACGTCCTGCTACAAAATATTTATAAGCCTCTAACCCCTTGTAACGTTTCAGTTCTTGGTTGGTGTAGGACGATGTAGAATGACTTAAGTACTTGTAAATATTTGGCTATTGGAGATTGGGAACAGAGCAAGCGTCCGATGCCACAACCCAGGAGGATGACTTTCGCGTTATATCTTATTAATGATGGCTGATCTAACGAGCTGGAAATTTCGAACAGTTTTATGTTGTTTGCGCTGTTTAAAGTTGCCATGATTATATTGTAGTAACGGAATAACAGCTTCTGGATCAATCCCAAGCCTTGACCTCCAGTATGGCTGCCAAAACATTAAGTCACGTGACTGCCACATTGCATGCAAATCCTTAAGAGGCAGTTATACGGACGCAGTAAGGTATTATAGTAGTACAAGTGACTGAAATTGTAGTTTAAGCCACCAAAGCGTCCAGACACAACGAAAATTTCAAGTTCATATTTAAAAGTGACACTGGGCGCAGTTGTCCTGGATTTTATCTCAGAATCCTTGCTCGGTCTCCACTGAGCTCTTCTGAGTTCCGAGTTCCACCGTCAGAGGAAAAGGGGCGTGTCAGTGCGTGTTGCTCATTGGATGGATAATCGAACGCACCATAACCACCTAAACACTGGCTGTAATCAGGGAAGTCCTGAGTGATGTCATGTAATACTTGAAATTGCAGTGACCACTGGAGGCAGCACACACTCTTTTTCACAGAAATTGTCATAAATGGACATGGAACCATAGACAGTGCTATTAAAACACCATATACAGAGTTTAGAATAAAAAAAAAAAAAAGTTATTTTAATGTGAGAACAGTCCTTGCTCCTTTACTCTTTACCTTTTGAGTGTATTTCATTGTGTCATGAATCAGAAGACGAGTGCCATATTGTGAACTACAGTTGGCATGCATCAGCCTGGTTAAATGTTTGTAATATTTAATGTAGTATAAATGGTGCACAGCTCAATGAAAGATGTTGTGTTAGTATCAAATTTGTTGTAAATTAAAATGTCAGTATTAATATGTGATGTTATGAACTTTTGTGAATAAAAGCGATGGGGAAAAAAAGGAGAGAGACCTGTGCTTCCACATGAACTGTAAACTGTAGGTCTATGCAGTATATTACCCAAAGAAATGTGCAGACATTTATTGTGTTTTATTTTACCCCAAATTATTTATGTATTTATTTACTCATTGTTGGCCTTGTCCCCAAAATAACCAACTGGAATAAAACTTAAGACATCAATATTCAGCAGCAGTGGCTATTCCAAGTGCCTTATGACTTAAACTTAACAAAATTGAACAGTTTTCCCTCTTCGTGATCTTAGTCAAAGTTGTATTCATTAGTTTATAAATGTTTAAGTCGTCCTGTATAGACCTGTATGTGATTTTACAGAGAATTAAGACTCAGTGTCATATGGCACATTCTGTTGAATGTTGGTAGTCGATAAATCTGACTCAGTTCTCCCGACATCCATTGTAAATGCGTTCCATTGCAACAACTGGGGAAAACATGGATGCCCAAGAAAGTTTAATGTCCAACCAACTTGGTCTGCATCGAACTAACCCAAGTTTCTGTTTCGGAACCCCGATTTGATTGGCCGTTCCTTTACAGTTTCACGAGGTGGAGGTTTGTTTTCCCCTGAGTCCCGAGCACAATAGAATGCGCCTTTACATGTACGATTCAAAAATGCCACATAGCCATTTTCAGCAAGCCTGTAAGCCTATACTGAAATCTGTTGCTTCCTACAATGAAATGCTAAAGAGGAGGTGCATAGCAGTGGACAGTGAAAGGGCCAGACTGCCCGGAGGAGGGAGGAAGAAGGCGAGTGAGGAGCTGGAGCTGAACATGCAGGAATGGGTGATCCGCAAACGGATCCGCAAACGAGAGAGAGTGTCCCGCAGGATGATCAGGGACATGGCCAAACAAATGTACGCGAGTTGGCTAAATCATTTCCTCCGCCGCAACAACTTCACTTCCAGAAAACGTACAAATATTGGCCAGAAGGACGCGAGAGACACCGAGAAGCTGGTGAAGTTTGTGAAAGGTGGTCCAACAGGTAGGCAAAGTAGTCGCCAGGCCGTCCTCCAAGACGTGCCATTAAAAACTGTAAATTATAGTCGTACTGGTTAAAAGAATTTGAGTGCCATATTTTCCTAGTTTTGCTGAACAAGATTTTTGTGGGAAAGAAATGAATCGCCTGATCTCAAATAAATGCCTGGTCTCAAATAAAGGCCTGGTCTGCTGAATGATTGAAACAAATAAACGCCTCGGCTGTTTATTGGTACTTTACGGTACACTTAATAAGGTCAGTAAAAACAAAAAAGCAAAAAATGTTACACCTACACATTTTTTATTAAAACTACTCAGAAATACGACTTTGATACACATTCAAAAATACCCAACTAAATAAAAAAACAAAACAACAATTATTTCAAACTTCTCAAAATCAAGACAAACATTATGAGTTTCTGTGGTTCACATTTAATAAAAATTCACATTTCCCCATCACGTGTATTCCAGTATCTTCCCTTTCTAACCATTACTAGTGAATGTGAACGGCCTGGTCGATTCTCGCTCTAATGACTCCGGGAGAGACAGTCTGTTAGCCATAGGTGATTGTCCATCTTCAGCTCAATACGGCCACATCGACTGGACGGTCCTATGCAGCTTCAGACAGCTCATATCTCCTACTCTGTTAAAGGAGAGGGCTAAGTGCTCCCATGTGACTGTGTGGAGCCTGCCCGGTAACTGATAAACTGCAAAGATGATGTGTTAATAACTCCTACTATTGACTTCCATCTTTACTCTTCTCTGTGGTCGGTTAAAAATAAATGTATTGGTTATACTTCACATTTATTTGAGTAGCTTTTAAAGGTCAAATAATGTGCAAAATTGATTCTTGTGAGCCATGTTCAAATGTTACCTCATTAAAACATACATGGAGTTGTGTTTTGTTTCATTCATACGTTTGAGTAATCCTTTATTATTAGTCTGTCTACACCTCCAAAGCTCAAAATGCTCTGTATTATATAAAATATGAATCAAAAGCAAGTTACTAAAGACTGATACAGACTTTTCCACAGCTTGAGATAGTTTATCTTCACTAGTTTTGCTAAAGTCATTGCTATCAGCCTAGTGGAAATGACTTCATATAAATTCTGCTCAAATAATAATTCATAATTTTAGAAATATACACGCAAAAATGAAAATTATCACAGCACAAATGAAATGCAAATGTTTCTGCCTGTTTTGAGGCTATTTAACATTTTGTGGGGCTGGATGACTGGACAGGCTGGGGCCACTTAGTGCCTCTGGTCAATTTCATTCCTCTTCAGTGACTAGGTCAGGAATCAGAATACACTAGACTGTTTGCAGGAACCCCGGAAGTTGTAAACCGCACCGGCCAATCAGCGAAGAGCTGTGAAGCCATGATGTCAAACTCAAGCACCTGTCTGGGTCCCTTTTGTGGAACAGCACAACAGCAAACAAAGCTTTAACTTCTTGGGTTCTTTTTAAAGACAATACAGTTAAGTGTATTTTCCTTGTTGACAAGTTTTGGCTGCTCGCTGCAAGCCATCTTCAGAACTGTCACCAGTGTTGGTGGTGACGTGTCGTATATCACCTGTTGTTAGTGTGGTCAGCCTGATTGACCTGGCAGGTCGCTCAGACTGAAATGTAGATCTGAAGATGGCAGCAGCAGCAGCTGAAACATATCAACAAGGTAAATACACTTTACTGTATTGTCTTTAAAAAGAACCCAAGAAGTTAAAGTACACAAGAAGACAAAATGAACATCTTTGGTTTAGTAAACAAAGCGGTTGAGGTGGATGTAGACGAAGGCATATTCTGTGTTGGCAACAATTCCCAAGGTCGAGGATTTAAAGCCGGAACAAAGAGAATGTTTGGTGAATTTTATCAAGGGGTAAGACATTATTGCCCTTCTTCCTAGAGGATTTGGGAAAAGTTTAATATACCAGTTAGCCTCTTTAGCAGCGCATTACATACATCACGACCAAATAGCAGCGATTGGTTAAATAAAAAAAAGTACCCGCCTACTGTCGAGTGAACGAATCCTAATACAGCGAGGTTTCCACGAAGTGAAACAGGCTGATGAATCAGGTTACTGAATGATGTCGTCGACCAAAAATAAAACTGCTAATATCTTAAAAAAACATAATCTCACAAACAAAACTTTTTGCAGCACAAAACAGCACACACGACTGACACCATTTTGTGCCGTTTTAGATCATTTTGAAGCTTCCTCGGGGCTGACTGACCCCAATTTAACCTATAAAACAATTGTTAATATCTCTGACACTAAAGCAACACAAACTAAACTTTTTGCAGCACAAACGAAGCATAGTTTTAGTGTAGGTTTGCGTTTGATGTGGGACCAACTTCACACAGGTAAAAATTGCCTCTGAAAGGTCACGCTGGAAAAGTTACATAACCCTTTCCCTTTTTTTTTTTAACCCGTCCGACATGATGGATATTCTTAATCTCAAACTATATCAATATTACAGTAAGATACCCCGTGTTTTTCTTTGCGGCGGATCGATCCAAGGACAACTCCTAAGACTTTGAAATATGACTGTCTTAGCGTGTCCATTTGACTTTTGGACAGTGAATATCTATTTTAGTGCCGCGATTGATAGTTCACAATAAGCCCGAGAATAAGTGCCACTCGCCGCACAGCCACTTAGCCTCGAGTCGTGAGAGATATTGATCGGATAATGCGCGGAAATGAATAGTGCTATGGCTAATTATAGTCTAATGAAAGAGGGATACGTTCATAATGGGTTTGAATTGCGTCTTAATTCCATGTGCATGAGAGGTTTTCATGTTTTTCTAATTAATATTTGGCAGTGATGGAATGTAGCAAAGTGAAAGTAAAGTAAAGTTCTGTATTTACATAAAAACTTTAGGTATCTGTACTTTACTTTCTACTTTTTTTCACCGTTTTGTTCATACATTTGTTCCTATTTCTAATTTGGAACTTGGGTTCAAATCCAAAAACAGAATGAGCGATTCTTAGGTCTTTATGAGTTAATATCTTTGGCATTTATGGGTCTATCAACGTAAAATAAAAAGTGACTAAAAGATAAAATCCACCTCTGTTAGAATATTTCAGCTATAAGTCCCTATAAAGCTGTTTTCTTGCTGCATCTGAGCGGGACGCCGTGAGAACTGTTTTCCTTTCGGACCAAAATAAATGACAACGAAGCGGCACATGGAGGGACCCGTGCACATCGACCGAACACGTATTGAATCGTAACGTGAGTATTTGTAATTTGTTACTTCCTAACCATATTTAGACTACGTTAATATGATGACAGCCTGAACAGAAGATGCAAAAGCAGGGTCACGTCTTCATTTTTTATTCCGCGTTTAGACGAGCGTTTTTGGGAGGAAATGACGCAAAAGTGTGTGGAATTCGATCCGACATGTTTGTTTCTGTGTTCTGTATGTACGTGGTGTAAACGTGTACGTGACGTGAGCAGATCTGACCAGAGTTTTGCGTCTTGGGCAGTGTAGACGGAAATGCGACAATGGAGCGTATTCAGCTTTTCCACTCTGGAGGGTGGTTTCAGATTTTTGCATTTTCAAGCCCCAAAAACACTGTCACCATCTAAATAAACAACGACAATGACAAAACATTTTCTCGTTTTTACCTGCAAGCTTTCTCGTGTAAACAGGCCTTTAAAATGTATATTTACTTTCCTCTCGATATGCAAACATGCTTTGTTTTTCTGTTATTTATACATTTTTACCTTTCTGAGCCTCTGTCATAAACTGTGTCACTGGGCGGGCCACACTCACACGTGCAAGAGTGCTGTTTCATCAACAACAACCATTTATTTAACAGTTTAATTAGGCCTCCATTATGTTCACTTTAGAGGTCAATGTTATAAACTGAGCAGTGGCTTAAGAGTATCCATGGGTTTAAAAGTAATGCAAAATTAGGACTGTTGCTTTTTGAATTACGACTACTAAAAAAATATGAGCATATAACAGGGAGCAAAACCCCCGATCAATTCATTGGCTCCTGTTGGGGCCATTATGTTTG